TGCATCACTGTCTGGTATGGCAGCACTACTGCTATGGACCGCAAGTGCCTGCAGAGAGTGGTAAAGACTGTGGAGAAGATCACTAGGACTCCTCTGCCCTCTCTGCAGAGCATTTACTACCGCAGGGTGCGTAGGAAAGCTGCCTCCATCCTCAAAGATCTCACCCCCAGCATGGACTGTTCATACCCCTACTCTCTGGTAAGAGGCTCAGAAGTGTGAAATGCAGGACCTCTAAACTGAAAAACTCTTTTTTTCCCGACAGCCATCAGACTCCTAAACAGCTGACTCAGGATCTACCTCATGTAATTCCATCTGTACTGTTTACCTACATGCATAATTGCACACTCACTGCTGAATATTTGCACAAACAGCTCCCATGTAGCATATATTCTCTCTTCATTGTATTGTGTTCTTGTTGTATTTTGAACATGAGGAAGGAGAGGAAAACTCATCATCACACTTGACCACTTACACTTAGATGACACGAAGGAAGCTACATGCCGACAAAGGCATTTAACTAAGTTTGCAATGATGCAATTTAAGACAGGACAACAAAAACATTAAATAATTAACTTTTTTTCTGCTGGTGTAATTAAAATTCCATTATTTTGATTAGAAAATGGATGGGTTTTGTTCACTAACATCTTGATTCTCATAGTCTGAGTAAATGGCAAATTACTTCTTTAAGGCGCCTTGTGGGAACCAGGCATAAACAAACAAAGAGGGATAGCTCACTTGTGCAGGCAGAAGAGTTGGCATCACTGGCCGCCCGGTAAAAGCCGCTGCGACATTCACACACACTCGAACCCTCCTGGCTGGTTCTGCTGTTGGGAGGACACATCGAGCAGGGAACAGAGCCCAAAACAGATTTGAAGTAGCCCACAGGGCAGGCTGCAGAAAGATAGGAAGTGACAGGGTTGAGTTTTCTTCACAGTTTATAATCCAATAAATGAAGTTACCCACCTATACCCACTACTGTACCAGCCCTAAGGATTATAGACCAGTTGCACTCACCCCGGTTATCATGAAGTGTTTCGAGAAACTGGTACGTAGTTATATCACCTCATGTCTTCCATCTAACCTTGACAGCCACCAGTTTGCATACCGGGCAAATAGATCTACAGAGGATGCCATCAACACCACTCTCCATACTGCTCTGTCTCATTTGGAGCAGCCGGGGAGCTATGTGCGGTTGCTGTTTGTGGATTCTAGTTCCGCCTTTAACACCATCCTCCCTCACAGACTTGTGTCCAAACTACAGGCTCTTGGACTTTCCAGCTCCATATGCCATTGGATTCTGGATTTCTTGACTGCCCGCCCGCAGAGGGTTAGAGTAGGTTCCCATATGTCGACTGCCCTCACTCTCAGTACCGGCTCCCCACAGGGCTGTGTGCTGAGTCCCCTGCTTTATACCCTATATACACAAGACTGTACCTCTACCCACCCCAGCAACACCATCATTAAGTTCGCTGATGACACCACTGTCGTGGGGCTTATCTCCGGGAATGATGAGTCCGCGTACCGGGATGAGGTAGAGTGGCTTTCTGGCTGGTGTCGGGAAAACAACCTGATCCTCAACACCGCCAAGACCAAGGAACTGGTGGTGGACTTTAGGAGGAATAAAACAGACATTAAGCCACTGTTCATTGATGGAGTCCAGGTGGAGAGGGTGGCCGCTTTTGGGTTCCTGGGCGTCATCTTTGAGCAGCACCTGACTTGGGGCGCTAATACCATTGCTTTGGTAAAGAAGGCCCAGCAGAGATTGTATTTTCTCAGTCTTTTGAAGAGAAACAATCTGAATGAGAAACTGCTGGTGTCCTTCTACCGCTGCACGATAGAGAGCATTTTAACATACTGTGTCTGTGCCTGGTTTGCCAGTTGCACAGCTGCAGACAGGAGAGCGCTCCAGAGAGTTATCACCAGAGCTCAGAAGATCATCGGCTGCCCCCTACCATCTCTGGAAGAACTGTACAGTTCCCGTTGCTTGAAAAAAGCACAAAACATTTTGCAGGACCCATCACACCCTGAACATTGTCTGTTTGAGCTGCTGCCTTCGGGGAGAAGATACAGAACAATTAAAGCCCCCTGTCATCATCAATAACCTCAGCAGTGCTGACTCACTGGTTTCTACAACCATGGGGTTTGGGCCTTACTTACAGCCACAGACCCTTGTCTCTCTGTCTGTCTGTCTGTCAGCCCGCTGCATGCCAGAGATGTATGTATGTGTGTGTGTTCCTGTACTTGCTATGTAGTGAGGACCAAAAAAGTATTTTTTGCTACAGAGTGAAGACATTTTGGCTGATCCTCACTTTGCAAAACACCTTTTTGGGACTTGGTTTTAGGGTTCAGATTAGAATTAGGTTTAGGTTAGATGTTAGGATAAAGGTTAGGGTTAGGCATTTAGTTCTGATGGTTAAGTGTTAGGGTTAGGGGCTAGGGAATGCATTATGTCAATGAGTGTCCTCAGATAGATAGAAGTACATGGGCGTGTGTGCAAGCATGTCTGTGAGAGAGAGAGAGGGGGAGAAAATGCCTAAAGCAGTGTCAATTAAATGCCGCATCATTCAAAAAGAGGTCACTTTGTAAGATAAATGCAGAGTGTGTGTATATTCTCATACTGAGAGACCTTCTTGTATATTTGAGTGTGTAAAGGACACACCTGTCTGATACAACAGCTTAAAAGAAGGACCCGCTCATCTGTTATTAAAAAGTGTTCAAGTGCTCTTAGAAATGGAGGTTGAGAGAGGATCTGTGTGTTTGTTTATTATGGTCAATGGGAGCAGCTCTCTGGCCTTATTTCTATAGCTTTGTCAAGAACATGTCTTAAATTTGACATGTTGTATGTGCTAGGCACCATGGGAATGGGAGAAGATAAGAAGGCAGGATGTCAAAAAGGGAAAGAATGAGCAGATAAAAGCCTTTCTGTGTTCTCACTTGTCTCAGGGAGCTGACTTTGCTTTCAAACAGGTGTGAACAGTGAAAAGAAGGAGATAGTCAAAAGGATGTTAAAAGATCACAGAGGGAGAGTAAACTAAAGAAAAGAAAGAGGCGAACAAGGAGATGGATTGCCCAGGACAGCTGTAGGATGAACAGTAGGATTATATATATGAGCACTAGATGATGAGTAAGAAATGAGGAAAGAGAAAAGGAAAGACAGTGGGAGAGTGACAACAGAGGGAGGGAGGGGAATAAAGATTCCTCCAGCTTTTATGTCCTAACAGGACATTACCAGACGTGTTCTCTTACGGCTCTCACATGAAACATGACTTTGTTGTCGGGCTGTTACGAGCTCCAGTGACAACTCGACCCCCATTTCCTCCTCTGTAACTATATCCACCTAATTACAACAGCCAATGAAAGCTCAAGCCCTTTGCCCTCACACATCCCCTCGACTCCCTCCATCATTTCCTTCCCATCTATAAAGTAGACCATTCATGACCATCGTGAACCAAGGACACACATTCAGTACCTCTACAGCAGTGCACCTGAGGGTTACAGTGAGGGTTGGTAATAGAAATCAAACTAACTTTACCAATAAACCTAATTTTAAGAAGAAAAAACAAGAAATATTCCAGTCATTAGATGCTGTATCATAACCGACTCCTCTGCATATTGTTAATTAGGTACATGCTGTATTTTGAATTGTTTGTATTATCTGTTTAGTTGCTGAATTCCATTTTATTGTACTTCTAATTACGTGCAATGGCAATAAGGTTTAATCTAACTTAACTGATGATCGGAAGGGATCACATGTGGAATCAAATAAATCCAAATAGGCACATAAACAGAGGTTAGCTTGGCAAATGTTGCATACAAACAAGCTGTAACATGCACAGAGACAAATAAGTACAATCAAAAACTAAAATGTATTTCTAAATTGATCAAAAGCAACAGAAACAGACAACAATGAGGTGAGTAATCTAACATTAACACAATGCTTTGCAATGCAGATCACTGACCCAATTTCTCTCTTTCTCTCTTCCTCTTTCATGCACTCGTCCTCTCTTTTGGCTCCCAGCATAATCTCTCCCTGTCTTGCAGACACACACGCGCATACACAAACACACATAAACTTGGTCACAGATGTGACCACACAGCAGGAGAGATGGGCACACAAGGTTCCCAACTGTAAATGCTTTTTGCTGCGTCCCTCCAGCCTCCATTTCCTCCATTTTGTTATGTGATGCAGCCTGGAAAGAGACTCAATCATATGTGCTCTAATTTTGCCCATTTCCATATGTAAGAGCAAGAAATCCTTTGTTGGCTTTTACTGCATAAACAAGTAACTTTTCACAGCCATTACTGCAGCAAGAATGGAAGCTGAGCTTTATTAAAATAGTGACAGGCCAAAGAAAATTATTTCCAATTTTAGTGCACAGTATTAAATTCCACAGACTCTTTTAGCCACATCCTATATGTTTACAAAAGGGAAAAGAGACCCACTGTAGCCTACACACTGAATACTGCAAATTCCCAAGAGTTTTGGACCTTCAAAGTCTTTATCAGGCAAACACAAAATGAAACCTTCAGCTACAATTAGGAAATTACATAATGAAAATGAGCCTAGTAATACAGTAAGAAGGCGAAACTTTATGTGTATATATATACTGTAAACTATCTTTCTTCCACATTGATGTTTGCTTGAGTTTTGAGAGCTAGTGGTTTTCAGGGTGCGGACTGATTTTTCTTGTTCCTTTGTATGCTGTTTTTGTCCTGCACCTGCCCAAGCTGGGGTTTGATGAACACACTATTCATCAGTTTTTAAAAAACATCTTGCCTCATCATCATGACTCTGACAGTAGATTCAAACCGGACGGCAGCTGCCAGTGAAAACACTGCGATCATGGCCTCAGCATTATTTATGTGAACTTGGAGACTGCGAGGAGACGAGATGTTTTTATTTAGTTTTATAAAGACATTACACATAGTAGTTTAAAGGGGTCAATCTGATATTTGTGAATCACCATCCTATCTAAAAAAGTACAGTGAGAAAAATTTGAATACATTAAAAAAATGTACCTTGGTGTTTGCTGGTCAGCCTTAAGCACTTGTGGAATTTGGACTCATTACCTCAGTAGTTCTAACATCTTGACTACTGCTCTGGATTACAAATCTCATAACAAAACTACCTGAATTTCCATTGGGACCAATAAAGTTTCTATCCATCTCAAAAGGACTTCAGTACTCTTATTATTCTACTACTTGTGCTGATGATCAAATTAATATCCCCCTGAAGGCAAAAGATGTAATGACGTTTCTTGTCATCACTGGCTACTCTCCCACAGTGAGGTTCAGTCAATACCATCTCTCATGTGGAATCATCCAATCACACTACAACTAAAGCCACATTTTTACATTTTACTTCCTCAAATATTGTAGTTTCCCACCACAACATGCCTCAGGATAGTAAGAGGAGGTGTGTGTGGAAGACTGAATGTGCTTGGTGACATATCAGGACAATCTGACATGCTGAATATTTCACCGTCAGAACACAGTTGCATGCCACAGAATATAGGCATTAAATTAACCCAAAGCTTGTTTGGGCAGTCAGTACGAATCCTTGTCCCGAATCCTTGCAGTGACTTAATATTCCAGTGGAATCAAACACAGGAAGAGGCTTGTCCAAGCATCATGTGTGGCCAAAACTAAGAATATTTCACATTTGGCTGAACAGGTGTAATTTTGTCTCCTGTTCGATGATATTTTTGCCCATGCCCCCCGATTTCTATCATTCCCTTGTAGGCTACACATATCAAAGGAGAAAAATATCCTTCTGTTGTTTGTCAAAAAATAAAATCATAGCAGACGGCTGCTGCTAACGCCTGTCTCCGTCCTTACCATTTCACAAAAGACTGGAGGTGAGCTTATCTCCAAAATGAGCTTTAAAAGTCACAGTAATCATACAGAGGCCAAATGCTGTTTTAGACTTGCTTGAGATAAACAGCTTTATGAATAGTAGAGTGATCTTTTAATGTCTGTCTGCCAAAATGCCAACTATGTTTTCTATTAAAAGTTTGATATTTCATTTGGCTTCTTAATTTATCATCAGTCCAAATGGTGTTGTTTTGGTGACTCTGCCTTATCGCAATAATCCAGCATCAAATTTGTGGTTGATCAAGAGGCAACAGTAAATTTTTTCTCATTAGTTCTTCTCAAGTGTTGTTGTCATTATTATTGATTTAGTTTCATTGCTGTCATGATCCCACACATTTCTGGCTCTGAATTTTTATTATGGTACTCCTCTACTCCTGTTATGATTTTGGTTTTTGCGCTGGCATTAGCTGCCTCAGCCAAGCCCAATTATTCTCAGCTGTTTCCCATCAGAGTAATCACTAGCCCACATATTAAAACCATCTATCTCCTCTCTCACTCTCCTAGTTCTTTGTCTCTGAGCTACATGTCCAGTGATAAGTCAGTGCCTTTCTCTGTTTACTTCTTGTGGGTTTCTATTTTTGGATGCAGCTTTGTTTGCCTTCCTCATACAAAAGTGGGAAGCTAAAGACTGTGATGATTGACCTTTCCTCCATTTTGTCCTAAATTCTTTCATATAGTGGAGTGGAGGAGTCAACAACTTGTAGATAGAGTTGATCAAAATTAGTTTTATCGGCTTTTGTCTTGTTGTTGCTGTCACGGTGTCGGAGAAAATTTGCATCAAGTTCAGCTTTTCTCAAATTTCCCCTGTAGTGTTGGCATCATTTAAAGCTTGTAGCACAGCAGGAAGCACTGGGCTGTAATGCCAGGTTCCATTCACCAGGAACAGCAGCTTATTGCCCTCACAGCTTTACAATTCATCTGGAAGAAAACACTAAAAAAAATAAGTGGCACTAGAGGAAATTATCAGTATCAGTAGGACTCATGCACCGAAAACCATTAGAGTCTGGACAAAATGTTGTGACAATCCATCCATTACACTACATTTGACAATGCAGAGGAAAAGTCATTTGGGTTCAACAGCTGAGGACCATGAGTGTCAATAGAAAAGGCCATGGCAATCCATCCAGTAGTTGTTCTGGACCAAAGTGGTGGACTGACTGATAGACCAAAAAATAAGTAATTAACAGCAAAATGCCATACATAAACTGTCCAAGTAGCACAAATGTTAATGTCAGAAGAATGTTATGTACAGTAACATTCAGAGTTTAAAGCTCTTGTCATAATAATGTGCTCTTATAAATAAATGCATTATGGGACATCCCTTAAATCAACAAATAGAAAGCAATTAGAGCTGTGTGTAGTTCTATTAATTTTCACAGGAGTCTGGGAGTCCCTTATTTGTCTCTAAAAGTAAGCCTTGCTTACAGGCACAAAGCTGTGGGTGTATGGATATGTATATCACACTGCATTAATTTACATTGTAGGTATTTTCTTAAATAGACTAATGGATGTCAGTGAAATAGAGCAAAATGGTGCATTCACGTTGCAATCCATTCTGAAAGGGTGCTGGGGAATTAATACAATTAATAATGTGTTAGATGACGTGTGGAGGTTATGATGACACACTTTCAGTCAGTGGGAGTAAATGTCAATTAACTTCTTGATAAAGTGTTCTTTTCTTCTCAGAGCTGTTCAAAGTGCTGGCACCAGAAATTAAATGAACATTTTGCAGACTAGTGTGTCTTTAATTACAGCTTCCAACCTATACATTATAGTGCAGTGTTGGCTATCATTTGCTCATTTTGTGCTATTATTAAATGTTCTTGGTGGAGAACAGAACAGGATGTACAAGTTCTAGAAGTGAAAAATGTTTGGTGCTCAACTTTCTGCTGAGAATAAGGACGGGCTACTTGACACATGCATCGCCAGTTAATATCTGCCTCTTTTCTCCAAGGGAGGACAAGAGTGTAACGATGCCAGTTCACATCATTAGTCAGTGACTGATCAGCAAAACATAACCAAATAAAACTTGGACCAAAATCTCGAGCAGTGTGCTTAGCAGTCTATTAGATCATTCATAGACAGTCATTGTGAAGTTTTGCTCTGGCAGCTGAGTAGCTTTGAAGGGTGATATGTAAATAAATATCAATCAAATGCAAACAGACACAAATGCAGATGTAAAGCAAAAGAGCATGAATACATTTCACAGCTGAATTGGTGGGATTAAAGGATTAATTGTGTTCTAATTAGTTTGACTTTGAGGCTCTTTATGTGAGGGAGCTAAACAATTATGGCCAATAAAATTCCTAATAGACTACAGGGATTTTTTTTACTGTAATCCTGACATTGACATTCCTCGCACATGTGTGGACAAAGTGGATATGAGCATCAGAGCAAGATACTCACACAATCACCTTTTTCTCCTTCACACCCTTAGAATTTGCCTCTTCAGTTCTTTAAGTCATTAACTTGCATCATCTTATTGTTCGTTCTCCCTTCATCTCGCTTCGTTGCCCCCTACTCCCCCTGTAGTTTCTGTCACTTGTTCACAGACGAGTGGCCATTACATCACCATGACCTAAATGTGTCACATCCCTCTCACTGTAGTGGTCCTCCTCTTTCCTTCCTCCAGCTCTTTCTCCATGTGTCCATTTCTCAAATGTTTCCTCCTCTTTTTTTTTACCCCACTTACAGTACACCCACTTAGAGAAGTGCCAACATTTTTGACTAGTTTTACTATTGCTGGATCAGTACTCATCTCAATAAAGCACTTGAAAGATTTCTGTAAAACTCTATTAATGACAGACAATATGTGCAAAGTTATATCATTACAAAGTGCACTGAATGGATAGAGTCTCTGCTTCTCGTCTCCTCCCTGCTGACCTACCTGCTGTCTTTTCCCTTTGGTCTCTACATCAAACACCCTTGTTTATCAGAGTGACAGCAGCACCATTCAGTATTGATCCAGATGCTACGTATCTCAAGAAATACCAAGAGGAGAACTGACAAGAAGCTATGCGTGGCCCAGAAAGTTGATTTATTGCAAGTCTTTTGGGGCCATTTTAGTTCAAATGAGTTTTCCTGAACAGAGTCACACTTTGTGCATTTAAAGGGGAAATCCACTGATCAAAGCCGGTAACAGTGAATATTATGGCTGCCACAATAAATATTTCATCTGTAATGACCTGTTCAAATTTAAAATGTATAGTGTATACGTACAACAAGCCATGTCTTGTTCTACAGCCTGGGTCACTGGCAAAATACAAACTCCATCTGAGAAGTAAGTCATTCTGAATTCGAATTTATAGATGGAAAAATCCAGAGAGTGATTCTATTACATGGTTTAGGATTTACCTATCTTTTTTATATTTGAAAGAATTAGTATCATCTTGGTTTTGGCTTGGTGACAACAAACCATTAGAAGGTATACTGTAAATGAGGAGTATGGAGCTTGAAAAATGCAGGTGTTTACAAGGCAAGGACCATCAAGTTAAAAGGTGTGTTTGATTTGTATTATGGGAAGTGTACAGTCTAATGTATTTAGAGCTTATGTCATCGGTGGGACTAAAAGTCCGGATATCTCAGCTTCTGCTGCAACACAAAAGATGTTTTTCAACCATTCTTTTTTAATATGTCTCCCACAAGCCCCTCAATTTTAGAGAAGTGCAACATGAAATCAAACTATCCATACTCAAAGGGTGCATGACAAATTAAATGAATATGATACAAAGATTTTAAGCTCCAATCTGTCAGTCATTATCAGTGTTCCTCAAACTTACCCAGGCAGGCAGATCCATTGCGATTTGGTTCATAGCCTTCATCACAGACACATCCTCCTACAGGGACCATCCACTCCCCTTCAGCATTGCAGTGCATGCGAGGGGGCATGCCTCCCTGTGCTTTACTGTGGGGAACACATGTCCCGCTCACAGGCACTAAGGCAGCTGGCTCTGCCCCTGAGGGAGTTGCAGGGTAGGATGCCAAATTGAGGCTGGTGACTGCACAGCGCCGGTAGAATATAGACACACCCATTAGGGAAACACAAGCTCCGCTGTCAACGATAGCCAGGACAAATCTACAACATGTTCAGATGGAGAGTGGTGAGATCATCTGGAGTAAAGATTTTAGTAAAGAATGAGCAGCAAAGGTTTGTACAGTGATGATTACCCGTTGCGTGTGAGAGGTGCAAAACTGCGTGTCTTGATGTTAATTTGACTGTATCTGTTGGGTTGGTACTTGTGAGGTGAGCTGGGCTCCACCTTGGAAAAACTCTTATCAGCTGCAATTGTGTCGATCTTCACCCAGCCCTCCCTGGTCTCCTTCTCACCACTGGATGGCTGTAGTGAGGAAAGAGCAGAGTGGACACTGAAGGAAAAGATCATGAGTGGGCTATCTAGAAAAGGAGCAAATAAGAATAAAATAAGTTGGTTGAGAATTTAATAAAATGTGAAAAGGTACAAAGCATTAAATCAAAAGAAAAAATAGAACTAATGAGGAAAGATAGTTTTGCTGTACTTTTCCCAGACATATACACAAAATGAAATAGTTTAGTGTAGAGAGTAAACACCAACTTAGATCTATAGTATGCTGGTCCCAGTGGGGGTTCATGCTCAAGTCCTTGCGAAGACTATCAGTGCTCACTGCTTCCTGCTCTTCTGTGACTCTCTCCTCACTCCTCATCAGGCTTTGATTTTGCTATTTTAGAGAGTACCTCACTTCCCTAAGGAGACATGCATTCATCTATACAAATACTGGAAGTCCCCTACTGTGACTGTCTGTGACTGCAGATGTGTCTGAGGCAATTCAGACTCAAGGGCTCAAAATGTCCAAAGAGAGAGAGAGAGAGAGACTATATATATGGATAAATAAACTGCCTTTGGACAATCAGTGTCAGTAACTAAACAAACATGACAACACCTTAGATAACAGCAAATGAGGATCAGAGATTTCCCTTCAGTGAGTGTATAGCGGTCAGTGTTGTTTATTTTATCCCTTAAAGGTGTAATTAGTGAGACAGAAGTGGCATTTCTGGAGGCTACAGTGTTTGCATTTTGTAAACCATAGCATGTGCTTCACACCAGTGTGGTCTGAGGAGCCATCATTCTCAACAGTTCTCCTTGGCAGGCAAAACAATAATCAAGGTGATTATACAATTACTCCTTGTCATAGATTAATGAGAGGTTTGGCTGTTTTGGCGTAACAACAGTGATATTTTAATTTTACTGCGCTTAATGCTGAAGGTTCTTTACTTCAAGCAGTTACAAAAAACAGCTGGAAAAACAGAAAAATTGATCCCTGTTTAAATTAGTTGTAACCATAATTATAGATTAGAAATTTAAATTTTTTTATTAATTCTCTGTCTGTCAGGATGCTGAAATAATCACAAACAAAACAACAAACAAGCAATCATTTAAAATCATATTAAAGTCATATATGCTGCCATATTTAATGTTACTTTTCTTCTCGTTAATCTAAAAAGGCCACATATACACAGCAAATGTTAGTTTTGCTCTTTAGCTGGTTTACTTAGCTACACACTGTAGACCAGGCAGTAACTGGGTATAAATTAGTGACATCTCTACATAAGAAGCAGTTCATCTGCTATAAGAAATGTTTATTATTGTAGTAAACACTTAACGTTAATTTACTCTATAACCAGGCTTGATCTTTAAAAAGCTGATGGTTGCTGGATTCCTCAACCACCAGGACTGGATGATTCATGCTCGCAGCTTTTAATTTGCAGTCTCCTTGTCTCATCGGGGATGCCATAGCTGGAAATGTGAAACTTTTTTATGGAAATTTTCAAGGTTCAAACTGGGATGGTATGTTGCAAAATGTCCTGTTAAAATGTATTATTTATGGATGTTAGATGAGACATGTAGTCTTAGGCAGAACATTTCTTTTACAATACTTGACCTTGGTCCAGTTTCTCACATGAGGATAACTAAGGTTCCTGTTATGTTATCCTACCAAAATAAAATGCCTGGCACATGGCATGGCACAAAGTAAATAAAAGTTTAGCATTGTTACATATACAACAGTCTGGTAATTACAACATGGTAATCACAATGCAGCACATCCACTGTCACTGTTCTTTGGCCTCACCTCAGCTGCCCAGGTCCTCTCCAGCTCCCTCTGGGAGTCAGCCTGTTTATAGTACAGGGTGAGTGTCTCTCGGCAGGTGGGTGATGGTGAGCGCAGGCTGGCGCAGTCGCGCACCGAGAAGCGCAATGTGACAAACACCCGTGGTGCAGAGTGGCGGTACAGGAAAGGAGTAGCCAACCAGTTGTCCTGCAGATGAGGATTTTGGTTGACATTACAGACCTCAAAGGTTCGTATGAGCTTCCCCTGGTCATCCAGGACACTGACCTCATCCCACTGAGATAGACAAAAACAATATTATGAACTTGGGTAAACTCAACTTTGTTAAAGAGAGACATGATCTTAAACATGGGGGTCTGGAATCAGCTTGTAAAGTATTAAAACCCTGGTATACGTAATGACTGCCCATAGTTATGAATCTTCCTTTTATCTTAAAAGATTATATGATATGAGTTAAATATTGAGCATATTGCCAGGGCTGCCACCATGTGGGTCCTGTCCTTGGCTACACACTGTTGTTTGACATCTTCTTTCTTCTTATATAAAACATACTGGTATTGAGTCAACAAGTGAAAGGCTGTCGGCTTTTGTATGAGCGATGTAGGCCGTCTCTGTGTCCTTGTGCTCCATGATAGACTTTCCACTGTCTAATTAGGTAATTGGTGATTATAAAACCAGTTGTTAATTAAACCTCTCAAGCCTTTTATTTAGATTATAAAACATTTCAAGTGTTGCAGGCAAAACTGGGATCATCAAGACAATTAATTTCTGCCTCTCATTTCCACTTTTATGCCACACCATTAATTAACTGTTGAGCTATTTCAAGAGAAAGGTTTTTCCAGCTTGTGACTGTAGAGTCAGGGGATCACCAAAATAATTAGGATTATTCCTGTGTGAATCATGAGTGTCTGTGCAAAATGTCACATCACTTCATCAAACACCAGTTACAGTATTTCAGCCTGGACAAAAGTGATGATACAACCAAGCAACAGATCAACATGGCCACTAACAGAAGCTAAAAAAGTGGTGTCTTTTCACATACCATATATATTCATTTCTCTGGATAATACACAGAACACAATGTGAATGGTTTTCATAATTATTTCGGTACAAAATACTTGTACACACAGTGTCCAGAGTAACATGTCTTTTATTTATTTATTTATTCAATTCACCTTCATTGTTCTGGCATGGAGGCAGAAATATCAGAGACAAATATATAAATTCTCAGCAAATAAAATTAAAACTGTTTGTCTGGCTAGAGCCGATAAGAGATAAGACAGAAAGAAGGTTCAGACAATAAAAATAGGCAAAAACTAAAAAGTTTTTTCAAATGAATATGTTAGTTGTTTCATAATGTACAGTATGTAAGGTGTGATCACAGCAATTCCATTTTCTAAAGTCACATGTAGTTGTTTTGTCTCCTGCACTGGTTTTGCATTTGCATGTTTACCGTTGTTCACTTGGGACAGGTGCCACTTGTGTGCCTGACTCGGTAACTGTTGTGTAAAAACTCTAGCAGGTCATATTTTAGGGAATCTAAATACTTGTAAATGCACTAATGGATTTACTCCATTTGTACCTTCATGTAAAAAAAAAACATTATGCCAGAGTTTGAGTAAGACTATGTCAGTTGAGTCAAAATGTAAATGTAGGCACAGGTTTTAGTTTCACCAACTGTGCAGAACGGTGCCTCTAAAGAAGAAAAGGTTCTGCTTGTGTAACCCTGCCTGACAAGCAAAGCCTTTTCTGTTGTATCACAGACGAATTATGTATCAGGCCTCGTCATAATTATTCCCCCTGCAACAATGGGAAGAGGATAAAAGGTCCTGACACCCTATCAGGGTGTTTTTGTATTTGCGCATGTTAGTATATGTCTCTGTCTGTTTCTCTGAGACCCATTTTGAACAAAAGTCTCTGCAGCATCACACATGAGAGAGTGCATTCATATTTGGTCCAATTGAAATAATGATAAAAAGAGTCTGATTTGCTGTCAGTTTACTGGAGTGAAAGGACCGTTCTCTCTCTCCAGGGCTATGATTCACTCTCTGTCAGACATGGGAATGAGGGGAATTGAATGGAGGGGACAACAGAGAGCACATGCTGGGTTGGAGGGATGCAGTTGGAAAAGAGAGAGCATTGCGCATTGCGTACAGTTTGCTTATGCACCTTTGTGAAAAAACAATGCTTTCATTTACTTTCTGAACTTCAGACCTCCACCTCCATTATCCTTCCCTTTTCCTTCCTTATTTCTCCTTGTTTCAATTTCTCCTTCTCTCATAAAGAAAGATTAAAAAACAGAGCAAGCTGGTGAGGAGGGTGGATCAAATGTTGGAAAGAAAGATAAACAAAGATTAGGGATGACTCATCTCAGGATTCCATTTGAGCTGAAGTGCCCAAGATCCAAGCAATGGCTCCAGTGACAGAGGATAGGAAGAGGTAGGGCTTTGAATGCAACCTTGGACACACACACTAGTACACAGGAGTAGAGAAAGGCATGCACATATACCGCAACACATGTCCATGTGCACACACAATGCAAACGCACAATGGAAGAACAGAGTGAAACTAAGGTGAGGAAAAAAGCAAAAACTAATAAGACATGGGGAACCTCTGTCGGTTTCATGTTGAGAAGAAGACTGGAGATTGAGTTGGTGTATAAAAGGAGAGGGCAGTAAAGAACATCCACAGACGCTTAAGCAAAAGAAAAGACGGGATGTAACGAGAAAAGTGAGGAAAGGGTTAAATAAAGAACACACACAGACATACACATGCACACAACTTCTCTTTCTCTCGCCCTTTCTACTGGTCTGTCCTTTTATTTTTCTCAGCTTGATGCCCCAGGTCAAATAACCATATCTCCATCTCAGAAGCACTTCTCATCTAGGCATCATAAAACAAAACACTCATGCAATTGCTTGATTTGCTCATGCACACACATGCTCCCCTCACACACACAAATGGATGGCCTCCTACTAGTAGCTGCCATCATGGTTCACAACACTACTCTAATTAATCCAGCATCATATACAATTATGGCCCAATGCTGCAGGCCACACTGGGGTGATAATAGTTTAAGGTGAGATAAAAGGCATGTGTGTGCCTGCCAGATGTTTGGTAGAGACATCTCTGCTTTCATTTGGTCCTTTTTGTGTTGCCATCCAGCCAAATTCTGGTGGTAGTTGGTCGTAATTGTAGGCTCATGTTTACCAGAACATGCACGAATGTAGCTAGCTGTGTGCACAGTATGATATGATATGATTTATATAGCAGACTTAGAATAATATTGTTCTGAGCATCTATTGCTGTAGGAATTTCCTCCACAGTAACAACAACAAGCAGATGTAATGTCCATCAATTTCTCAGAGGTAGTTTCAAAGACCATGGCCATGAAGACGATGCATGTGTGTAATTATGAGCCATATTAGAACTGAGTCACAATCACTCACAGATGAATGAGTTCACAGTAACTGATCCAGAAGCTGATCCTGAGTATACACACACGCATACATATATATATATTTACACAGCTCAAGGCAATGCAACAATCTTAAATAAAAGCAGCTCCAGAATGGAAGAGCTATGCTTCAGTTTCAGCCACCTCATCATAAATGAAAACACAGTGGAGGCCAACAGAAACTGCGCTTATTTCCAAGCTGCATTCCACCTGCCAGAAACTCCAACAGTCAATGTCAGATTCTATTTGCAAGATAATGATGCTGACTTCTCCAGCAGCTATAGATCAACTTTTAGAACTTTATTCATGATCTTGTTATTTGTATGGAGTTCTTCTGTGGAAGCCTGCTGTTTATTTAAATCACTGCAATCAACGCAGCCTCGGAAAATGCACCAGCTCACAAAATGGATATACTGGTTTTATGCTTGATTTTAACACGCAAAAGTGTAATAAGAGTAAGGAATGCATTTCAGTGATTTTGCTGGATTTGCAACAGACTTCAAGACATAGAACTTGTACGAGCCAAGCTGATCAGCAGATCTACAAAGGAGAATGTTAATCTTTCAACAATAGGAAACATGTTTGTAAGCCTTTTAACAACCCAGCAGAGGAACTGATATTGAATTAAAGAGCCATTATGTACATGTTTTTTTTATGATCACTCATAAGAGTCAAATATGATAATTAAGAAGCACCAAAGTGGTTATTTGTTTTCCACCTACAACTATTTTTTGAATGTACATTATGTGTAAGTATAATATGTAAATATGTGTAAATATACCAAACCTTCAACAAAAACATTTAATGCCACTTTATAAGCAGAAATGTCCAACAGTTCATGCTTCTTAAATGTGTTACTTTACTACAGTACTTCTTCTTGTAATGATAACTAACAGTAACCATTAGTTACATCCTTGAACTGTAGACAACCATTACAACTTAATGCTTAAACTTTACCATTAGTTACTCAACAGCAGTGTTTCTATAAAAATGTGGTTGTTAAAGTTACACCAACAAACAATGGGATTATAACTCTACACTTAGCACATAACCATGTGTAATGCTTGTAACATTTCATTGCTTTCTCAACTGCTGGAAAACACATAGACAGTGAGCTCCTAGCTTACCCCTGTGTCTGGGTAGATGGTCCAGCCCAGCTCTGAGGTAGACTCTGTTGTGTCCAGCAGCATCACTGAGAAATAAAGAAGGAGACATAAACTATGATAAAACAGACAAATGTGATGTACAGCATTGAAATAAATGTTACTGATTGCTGCTCAATAGAAACAGAGCGAGTGCTAAATAAGACAGAAGTGACTGTGAAACGAGATGAGATATTGCAAGGCTTGATAACTGCAGACTGTGTGATTCTGTGATGCCATCAAGAGCTAAAACATGGATCTACTCCAGTGACGCTGAAGTTCAGATGAGCTTTTTAAAGTATTCTTTTGAAGGGGACAAAAAAATCTTTCTTCCTTCTGTTAAATAAGTAGTTCAAACTGTGGAACAGGTACAGGACTTGGCCACGTTTCTTTTTGATTTTAGGACTGGCTCCAGCTGTGCCATGTGTCAAATATAATAACTGGTTCTCAAATATGATGCATTTAAAAAAAAATGTAACTGATTGACCTGATGAGCACCATGATTAAAGGTAATATTTTCCAACTTTAAAAGGCCATAACAGTCACTGTCACATTGTGTTGAAACTCAACAAGTTGATGCTTGCTGCTTGGCCTAAGAGGAACCTTTTGTTGGGCAATTAAGTGTTGTTTTTCTTTTATTTCAGGCTTTAATTCCTACATTTTCAGGCATTTGCTCATTTCCTCTGATCTAGAGTGAAAAGCATGATTATTAGGTTGGAGTGTTTTTTTTTGTTTTTTTTGTAATTTGATTTTAGGTTTAAGTGGTTGAAAAAGCAAGCTGCCAAAGAAATCGCACATGCACACACACACACACACACACACACACACACAAAGTGACTTTTATGCTGAGTGCTGCAAGCTGACACATGGCAGCTTCCCACACAGAGCTGAAGCCCTTGAATTTTCCATTAGTATTCCAAAACTGTGGTGGCTGCCGTTCCTCCAGTCTGGCACAGTCTGCGTTTGGTTCTGTTGGGGAGCCACCCACTGAACACAGGCCAAAGTTTGTCGTGCACACAGAGGTGGCAAAAACATCAGATTTTGGGTCTTGTTGCTTGCACAGATGGAGTTAACAGGAAAGAAAACACACACACACACAGTGTCTGATTTTATCAAGCACAACACTAATCTCCTAAAGGGCTGTAGACACATGGACACACATACTGTGGGAGGTACAGTATCTGCCTCTGTTTGCAAATACATAATTTGTCTCGTTTTTTGCTTTCATTTCATCTCACACAGTTGTTCAGAAGAGAAAAGGCGGCTCTCTTTTTCTCTGACAACCAGACAAAGAGCCACTGAAAAATATCATCTACATAGTCATCACAGACACCGGATGGGATTTCAGAAGGTGCCCCTGAGTCTTAATAAATCAAACAAATGATAAGAATCTGATATCATTTGTGGTTTTTGACATGAATCGCCCCCACATCTCAGCTGTCTGACTGGCTGTAAACTGATTTTTTTTTTTTTTTTAAGGATTATACTCACAGATGGAGACCCTGCAAATCTGTCCTCCAATCCTTCATTTCCCCTTCTTTTCCTTCCCCTTCAATCTGTTTGTTTTCACCCATTAGCTTGTCTTTATGTCAATCTTACAAAAGTCACACATTTTCCACGGACGTCCTTCAGGACTTAGAGTGACTGAATTGTATCAAAAAAATAATATAAATGGATTGTGACAGCTAAGGATCATATGCATCCACAGGCATGAGAATGAACAGTTTTTATTGAAGCATACAGTATGTGTGGAATTGCAGTCAGTCGGGATAAAGTCAGCTACATTGAGAAAACTAAATCCATCAAGCCAGGAAGTCTAAATCCTTTCAGAAGAATGATCATTCCCATTAGTGACGCACCTTTTCTGTTGTGTTTAATGATGCCACTGAAGCAGGACAGATGCTCATTTACAGCATTAAATCTGTGTGTGATGACATAGAAACTATTCATTGATTAGTTTTCCAAGCACTTTGTCTATTGCCAAGAATCATCCTCCATTTATCCAAACAATAAATGACGATGTTAAATACAAACATGTCACACACAAAGCTCACATATTCTGATACTATATACTGTGACTTCATTAAGCACCATCCTGTTATGTCAGATAAGAAACAAACACACACACACACAAATGCTGCAAACTTGTCATTCCATATACAATTAACCCTCTGCTTCAGGGCAGATTCATGCATAAATCATTTACAGCAAACTACTGTGACATTAATATTTATGCCTCAACTATTTAGCTTCTTGTCGTGGGACCTTGGGGACCATGGGTCCTCATGCAGCCTCTGCTCCTTCCAGAACAAACCTGTACATGGGGATTACATGCAGAATTATTCAGAGCTTCATGCATCTCTCATTAGCATGTTGAACAATTCGCCATTACATCCCAAGATAAGCAATGAATGCCAAGTTAGACACGCATTTCAAGGATTAGCTCGACCTGAGGCATCATGACTGCGCCTTATGTGTGTGTGAGACAATGCTGAACAAAAGACAGGGACATTCACTAGCAGTAAAAGCCCCTTTATTTAACTCTCAGTCAAAAAATCTAGTATTGGTCCATCTGAGGACAGAGACACTCAAAGTTTGTCCCTGACAGTCTGAAGAAGTGCTGAGTCTGCAATCCGGACCTGAGTGCTGCTTTAATGCATGCCGTTCCGTCAGGTGTTCCTGCTTCCTGCTCCACTCTGCTCTTTTAGTCACTTTACTTGATACCGTTCCCCCCTTTTCTACATCCATTTTTCGCTGTATGTGTGTATTATTCATCTAAAAAGTGACAACATGGAAAGCATTTCTATAAGTTAAACAGGGAGATACACTGCTCCATTATTAATGCCAGATTGCTATTTGTTTGAGAAGTGCTTTAACAGAAAAAAATGAGGCAGTAGAATAAAAAATTATAAAACAGGAATGAGAAGAGGTTGTGTTTGTGCATATAAATGTGCTTCTTTCACTCTTATTGCCCCTCTTTCTCTTTGTGGTGTGGGTGGAACTGCTCTTGTTCTGTCGTGCAGAGGTGACCTTCATTAGTTGATGACTGTCTCCTCTGCCACTGGAGTGTTCACTTCAGCTGAGTGACCCTCTCCTGCTCTTTCCATCCATTTCACTTTGCCCAACACTTTTCCTCTCTTTGTTGGGTATGCATGTGCCGACACTCTCCAGCTCAAAGTGTAGTGCTGTTGTTCATGTCATGCCTCTTTGACAGCAGATGTATGGTACTTTACGGCACAATTTTTAGGCAATAGAGCTTCTCCTGGCACTCAGCAAAGAATTTTGGTGTTAATATTAATGGAGGCTAGAGGGGTGTGAGTGTGTAATACACCTCAACACCAAAGGAAATGCACCTGCAAAGAGTGGACACTGAGCTTACAGGTAATAAGTTACAGAAACATGCATGTATACATATATTTTCACTAAGAAGTCCCACAGTGCCTGTGAGCATTCTGTACAGCGGTCAGGTTGTGTTTTGTCTTTTGTCCACTCATCCACCCATGCTTTATAGTCTCCAGATGCTCCCCACCCACAAACAGTTAGTCAAGGACAAGACCTACACCAAACCATCATTACAAACTACCACACGGAGAGAGTGATACACCAAGACAGAGTGAGAGCGGCAGGAGGAGGGCAGAGAGGGGAGGAAGGAGGGGGATTAAGGCAGTTCCAGAAATAAGCATGCACATGTCAGAGGGAGTTATCAAAACATCTCTGGTGGTTAAGTTGAATGAAAGTGCAGCTGCAACAAACAGCACTTAGACCAGGTTAGATGACAGGGCGAAGTCTGCAATGAGCCACTGAACAGGTAGCAACAGGCACAGGTAGGAGGTCATTTCAGAAAAATGAACTCTCGTTCTTGATGAAAAGACATTCGTAATGGTTATCACTGGCTAGGTTACCGGCTAATGCTTGGCTCTGGGTAATCTTATCTTAAAGTAACAGTTCAGCAGTTTTGGAAAGGCACTTATTCACTTTCTTCTTAAGAGTTCTGGGTGGGTTATGCTAGAGAAGAACTAGTTTTTAGGACATGTTGTACAATCTTGTTGGAAATCAAAGTGTTGATAGCTCGTACAAATGGCCACACTTGAAGCTGGAATGAAAAGCCGTTCATTATAAAAAGGGGAGAGATGGTGATATTGTTTTTCAGACAGTCTCTCGTGGAAGATATTGCACTTGGTTGTTCACATGAAATGTGATAAAGAAACAAAATATAATGTGAATTTCAGAACTTTAAAGGTGCTGGTAGACACCTTCTGCTAGAGAGCTAGGCGAGCTGTTTCTCACTCTTCCCAGTCTTTATATTAAGCTATGCTAACAGGCTGCTGGCTCTGTCTTTATATGTACCATACACATATGAGAGTGGTAACAATGTTCTCATGTAATTTCCACCCAGAAAGAAAATAAGTGCATTTCTCAGCATCTTGAACTATTCTGCACCTCTTTCTCTTTCAGACCTAGTTGGGTTAAGATTTGCCAAGAAAGAAACAATCGTGACAGATGTAATAAAAGCTGTGTTAGACAATAATCAAAATAAACCAGTCACTGGTGCTACAGCAGAGAAGTTTGAACACCATGGGAAGGAAGGAAATGAAGAACTAATACCAAATTACAAACCAAAAATATAAAAATGTACTCCTAAAAATCAGTCAGCTGATTTGGTCGGTGCCAACATGCAAGCTGTCAAATCAGTTTTGATGTGAAATTTAAATCTGCCAACTACATTCTTGTGTCACAGCAGTCTGCACCACTCGTTCATCTTTCAGCAACATTTTGGCTCTAACTCACTGTCTGTCCACACAGGCATATTATCTGTGATAATATGACGCTGACTGGCTCAAAGCAGACAGTCTTGGCTCACAGTTGCTTAAGGGCTTCAACCTGTCAGACGTGATTCGTCTGAATAAAAGCGTCCTAATGTCATTACAGTGCTCCCAACAGCCATTGAAAATTATGCTGCTCATAAAAATTACATGCAAAAACGCAGCTAAAAATAAGGTCTGGTCACAGTTAGGTGTTGTAGTATCAGTGACGAGGATGCTGCGTCCTCCACTTCCCACCAGCGTGTGATTTCTCTCTGGCTGCAGCTCAGTGCACATGCAGGCCAGAGGGAGAGGGACGGGAAGCTTTTCAGGGCTGCTAGTAGCATCCATCCTGCTGCACTCCCACTGAGATCAGCATGCCATTTATTTTCTTATCACACTTTCCCTAATTGATCAATTCCTGAAAAAAAATGCTTATTACACCCAGGATAACCTGCCTTATCATTTCCCAGTAAAATCTAAGAACATGTGACCACAGGAAAGGTGACCCATATGACTTTAAACTGAGACGTTTTTTACAGCCTGTTGTTCTCTTTTTATGTACAGATAATGAGAGGTAAAATAAGAATTTAGATTCTTTACTTAAATGAAAGTAGCTGTACAACTATGCAAAATACATCCTAAGTAAAAGAAGTAAAAGAATCTTATTTGGGAAGCAGTGGTTTGATATTTAACAAAGCCTGATATTTTATAACCTTTCATATTTTTTACATAAAATCTTTATTTGAAATTCAACTCTAGCTGTCAGATGACTTTAGTATTGAACTGTAATATTTCCTTCTGAAATGTAGTGTGGTAGAAACATAAAGTAACATCAAATGGAAATACTCATGTAAAGCACAGGAACACGGTACTTTCCACCACTGCAGATGACGCATTGAAAACATTTTTGATTTTGACTTTTATGCAGAAATTAGAAAGTATAAATTTGACTCTACTGTTTGTGCGGCCTGTTGGTTTTGTTCATAATCTAACCATATTACCTGTTTTGGGTATGACATAAGTCTCACTAATGATATGAGGTCAATTTCTGGACAGGCTTAGCTCGATGAGCATCGCTGCAGCTCCATCCATTTGTAGCATGTAGAGCTGCAGGGACACCGGGCGTGCCTCCTGCACAGGGCTCCCCTGTAGTGTGTTAACCCAAACTGAACACACATGCACTTCAACACACCTGAGTGATGCATCAAATGCTCTGTTCCTCACACACTCTGTAGTTTGTGTGCACGTAAAGAAGCAGTAAACTTGTTTTTAAACTCTTAACTGCAAGAAATTAAGGCCAAAGCGCACCCCTTTATAATGTGTGGAGTCCGAGTTGTTAGTGGTGGATACACAGGTACTTCAAAAGTAGTAGACAGACAATAAACAACAGCAAACAAATCGGTTACCATGGAGCCACAGCCAGTCAGTCCACACAGACACGTTATTTACTGCCATCAAAGTCACTGCAGATGCCCATTCCTCCCTTTCTGACATAAATGCTTTGTTTTATGTGGATTTATGTGCATATCCATGCTATTGGATTAATACTGCATTATGGAGAGCACCATTTCAATTACTCAACCAGTCAGTAGGCCAATAACACTGTGCAGCCTCTCTCCCTCACTCTCATTCTGTCTCATCTTAGTCCAGGCCATCTGTTATAGATGTGGCTCAAATCTAGGGCATGATGTTCACATATAAGTTACCTTTGTTATGGACTATTACTGACACAAAGCTAAAGCCACTAAGAGATGAACATGAACAGGTGTGGCTCTATCCAGTGTGCAGCTCCTTCCTTTGAACATACTGTAATTGCATGCTGGCTGAACTGACTGAAACCCCCCTCATCTGTTAGGGACAGGATGTAAGAGCAGAAATTAAGTATAGGCAGACACTAAAGCATGTATGCACCTACGGTATAACTACACATACTCACACATATATACAGACATACACACACATTCTCTATAAAGGCAGTTTGAATCATCAAATTATTGTCAGGTTTGTCAAGCCTGCCCACTCTGAACTGACAGACCACTTCATGGATGGAGTTTTACTTATGCCGTTTCCAATAGTCTGTCAGTTTCTATTTTACACACACACACACACACACACACACACACACACATGTACTGTATAAACACTTACTCATTCACTCTTGCACTTTTAAGGCATAATATTTCCATTTATGTGGGCAAAGTGAGGAGAATAACGAGCCAAGAAGAGAAGAGGTGAAGACACCTCCACTGAGAACACTGTACAGGAGGGGGGCAGGGGTCTCTGGCTGTCACATCCATGGGATTATGAGTGACTCTGGGGGCCAGGGGGTCACTGAGTCCATAGTCAAACAGAAATGGGTTATGCAAGGCATTATTCATTTGTCGCCTTCCTTATTTCCATATTCTTTTGTTGCCGAAGCTTGATAGGCCTCGGCACGCACCTGGCACTTCCATGCCAATAGTTCTGTCTGATGTGCTGCCACAGTAGCACACACAAGCATGTGTGCGCATATTCACACACAGAGACACAATGAAACACAATACAGAACACACAAAATTAAAGTACACACATGGCTGTATGAGCAGGGGAAAACATGATAATTATTCATGGGGTCCCAAGCCAGAGGTGTGGACCAACAATTGAATGACACTTTCTCGCGGTGCTGCGGCCTGATGTGACAGTTTAACATGTTGTCAAAGTGCCCAGAATTCCCAAAACACCACATGGTTCAATAGCTACTACAGAAGCATTCCAACTGTCCATCCTTCACTCGTAGACTCACTGCAAGCTCTCTCTCAGTGATGAGAGACCAAACTCTCCATCATGCTATAAACATAAACACACACACATACAAAGCATGGATTTAATATGAATAGATTCAAATAAAACTTTAGTTCTTACCTTCCTCAGCTGAATTCGGCTGGAGAAACAGACAGAGAGACAGAAGGACACTCCACATCTCCACTCCAGAATGACA